TCACCCATTTCCACAGTGATGGAGATAGCTGGTTCCAACTCCTGTACCATCGGCTGCTGCCATGTCTGGTAGGACAGATTTGATGTCACAGTGCCCATCTCAAGGAACGCTCACTCTAGAAGCATCACAAAGAACATCAGCAGTCCTCAAAGTCTCACAGTGTCTTGCATTCCTTCATACTCCACTGTATCCTTTGCAAAGCTGTTCGGTTCTGCCCACCACAGCAAAAACTTCACTGTTGCAGCCCTCAGGGTTTAGCCTTTATGTTCTTCATTACAGTCATCAACAAGGACACTCTGAACATACAGCATATAGAAAATATCTCCTAACAATAAAAAGGGAAGACAAAGTGGCACTTTCATTGCAACAATCATAAACTAGTTAATGTGTAGGAATTAAAGGTGCAAAAGAGGGACTCAAGGAGCCAAGAACCCTATCAAATATTTGTCAAAACATCCATCATTCCATCCAATACACTGTACTAGCTTAGATATACTAAATTAGATAGTAGTCAACATAACAACAGGTTGTCTTCTCCTAAAAACATTGTGAAACTAGGGCTGGAAGATTTTTAGTCCTGGAATGTGTTAAGGTTACACTGATTACTGCCAATTTTCACCCCTGCTCTAAGAGCACTTGTGTGCCTTCACAGTCTTTGAATGCCTGAAACTCTTCCTGCACTTGGAGCAATGATACGGCTTCTCTCCTGTGTGAATGCGGTGGTGTTCTTGGAGAGTACTCCGTACAGTAAAACTCTTCCCACACTCTGAGCAGTGATATGGTTTCTCTCCTGTATGAATGCGCTGGTGTTTTTGGAGGTGAATCTGTTGATTAAAACTCTTCCCACATTCTGAGCAGTAATACGGCTTCTCTCCTGTGTGAATACGTTGGTGTTGATTGAGAGAATTCTGCTGAGTAAAACTCCTCCCACACTCTGAACAGTGATATGGCTTCTCTCCTGTGTGAATGCGCTGGTGTGTTTTGAGAGTACTCTGATGATTAAAACACCTCCCACACTCTGAGCAGTGATATGGTTTCTCTCTTGTGTGAATGCGCTGGTGTATTTTGAGAGTTTTCTGATGATTAAAACACCTCCCACACTCTGAGCAGTGATACGGTTTCTCTCCTGTGTGAATGCGCTGGTGTATTTTGAGATGACTCTGTCGAGAAAAACTTTTCCCACACTCTAAGCAGCAATACGGCTTCTCTCCTGTGTGAATACGCTGGTGTATTTTGAGATGACTCTGTCGAGTAAAACTCTTCCCACACTCTGAGCAGTGATATGGCTTCTCTCCTGTGTGAATGCGCTGGTGTGTCTTGAGATGACTCTTTTGAGTAAAACTCTTTCCACAATCCAAGCAGTAGTGATTTCTCTCCTTGCTGCACTTCCGTGTTTGTCTGTGAGATGTGTCCATGTGAAGGGTACCAGGTGACATTTGGTTAGTATTGGAATGTCTTCTGGATGCCATATTCTTATATTTCACCTGTTTCAGCAACTTAATATTTCTCTTGGTGGAATGTCCTGGTGTATTTACAGAAGCACATTTAAGATGGGTAGGAAAGTGCAGGAGAAGACTTGAAACAGGACATCATTTCTGGAAGAAGAAAACAAATCTAAACTCAATATGCAGTGTAACAGAAGTATTCTGATGCAAAACATAAATGCTCTACTTACTTAATCTTTAATACAATAATTCATTCAATCATTCTGTAATACTCTGTACGTAATGGTTATTATGTCTACTCAGACCTGCACACAGTCTCCTCCACAGTTATTGGCACCCCTGTTAAAGATGAGTAGAAAGGATTATACGAAATTCACCTTTCGGTTAATTAGCTTAATCTCTCTAGAGAAAAATTCTACCTTTAACTGAATAAAATTTATTCAGAGAAAAAAAAACCCTCATCATGAAATAATTATTTTTGACAAAACCACATGTACCACAATTATTGGCACCCCTAGAAATTCTTCGAAATATAACTGAAGCATTGTTTCCATTTATATATAACTTTTTAAAACTGATCCTAGTGTCTAGAAAGTTTCAAGCAGTGATCCATGATTTCCTGTTGCACTTGGGTATAGGCTTGAGTGGTATCTTTTTTCATACCTTCATACATTCCTGCCATTTCACCAGGGTATACTGTATATGATGGTATTTGTGTAAAAAAGCCATTATTCTATAAATTTCAAACTATCTATCGAATAATTGATAAATATTAAACATTTCTGCTAAAAAGGAGAGTGGCACTGTTAGCGTTGGTTTTGCTAGCATGCTAACTGCTTTGCCATGAACAGAACATGTTCGATTCTGACTAACAAAAACACCGACACAAGTTTAGATGATTAAAAATGATTTAAATATGAGAGAGTGAAATTAAGCAGCCACTGAAGGTATAGAAAGGTGAAATTAAACCTGTTCTTTGCTGTTTGGATCTGTAGCCTGCAACTAGGAATGGCTAAATGAGACCTTGTAAAGCACTGAGGCTTTTCCCTGATTGTGCTTCGCTGCATTGGACTACTAAAAACAGTAACATCCTATGGTTTGCATATATTATAGGAAGGACAAGATCATTGGTTAAGCTTCTTTGAATAAAGCACCAACACACATCATTAATGCAGGCTTGCTATTCACACAAATTTAACAAAACTATTTGTCAAAGTGTGACAATAAATACCTGTATGAGTCAATAATCTTCTCAAGGTGATAACAGCATTGAACTGTTTTGTGATTTGCCATGACAGTACCAGCCACAATTGACTGGTACAGTACAAGAGGATGTGACAAGTGATCACTGTACAGGAAGAAGATCAAAAGAATAAGAATGTGTGTTGGATCATAGCTGAAAATTCTTATGTGACTTTAGATTGACAGTGCTTGTGTAACTGAGCATGGACGTATAGGGAAGGGAAGGTTTTTATTGTTTTTATTCAGGTATAATATTTGTTTCACTGTTTTGGCTAAGTCTGTTCAGTCTGCTGCCCATGAAATAGAGTGGTGGGGTTCCAATCTTCTGAAAAAGCAAAGAAAACTTCTGTGTAAACTCCTATAACTGTAAATTTCTATAACTGGAGTTCAAAAGCACTCAAAAATACAACAGAAAATGAATGTATTCTTTTATACTGAAAATGTTTTAGCCTTTATAAACTATGATAATGCTCAAATGCTCCATCTAAACCCATTTATTTTAGACTCACTTGGGAGTGCCCTCTAGCATTTGAGAAACCCGGATGACATTACAGAGTGTAATTCTCCTCTCTAGCTACGAGTTCTCTGGTGAGGCCTTGTTTGTTATCGATCGTGTGATTACCTTCTACCTTAATATTGGTTTGGGGAGCAGGCTACAAACAGTGCCAGTATATTTCTGGAAAAATAGGAGAGTTAGCTAAAGAGGAGAAGGGACAAGAAACCCTGGACAAACTAGAGAGATTCTGTAAAGAGGAATGGTCACTGCTCTGTATTCTCCAATCTTATTATAAGATGTTTTATGAGAATACCAAGTGCTGTTTTATTGGCAAAATGAGGTTGTACAAAGTATTAAATGCAGGGGTGCCAATAATTGTGGCCCCTGTGGGTTAAATCTTGAGTGATTTTTTTAGTCCTCAGAGAAAAATGAACTTCAATTAAAGATTGCATTTGTCTCATTTTATCAGTGTGAAATTCAGCTAATTCACCAAAAAGCAAACTTCTTTTTACTCATCTTTATCAGGAGTGCCAATAATTGTAGAGGAGACTGTATGTGTACATACTCATTTCTGCATGATATTCACACCTGTCTTTAGGTCATTTCACATGGCTCTTTATTGTTCTTTTTTTCTATGTATTGTATTTTTATTTTTATTTGTTAATAGTCCGAGTGCTTGTCTGGTCTTTTCAGTATGCTACATGTCCTACATGTGTGCACCTACCAAAACAAATTCCTTCATTGTGTGATACATTTGGCAAAAAAAGTGATTGTGATTCTGATCATAGAACTAACAAAACCAAGTTTCTCCTGTCAGTCAAGAAAGACTCCAATTTACTGGTTTCCCCCGTCTGAGCACATGTTTGATAAAACTTGTTTGTGGTTCAGTAACATTTTTATCTGTAATTAGTCTGTCCATTTGATTCTGTCCTCAGGGACTACAGAGCTGAACCTCACAGAAGCTTATGGGGCTTAGAAAGAGGGACTGAGGAAGAGTATCTTTTACAGGTAAGAAAAATACAAGCAGAATGGCTGAAGGCAGCTCACTTTTCCAGCATGTGTGGGGAAAAACACAATGGGAGCCAAGATGTTATCCTGACCTTATCCTGAAACGATGAATGTAGTGTAATTCACAGGATGATATTAAAGTTGAAATTGAATATTTTTCTAAATACAAAACAACAAAAGTTTATTTTAGCCTGCTCTGTTTTGTCTTTTATTGCTACACATGAGTGCATGTGAAGGTTGACAGCTAGATTTCACACTAGGTGCAAATAAATCAGACAAAAATACATAAAACACTCTACAAAATGCATATCAGCCATCTTAGTTGACTGTGGGCAACATTTTTTCATTTCATTTAATTTCAAGTCCTTTTTTTTTTATATAAAATTAAAAACAGTTTTGTTCTTTGAGTGTCCTTGAGATGTAAACAGAATCATTCAGAGTATTTTGATGTGAAATGGTTCATTGTAGAGAAACTTACAGACTCTGATTTCTTGATGCTAATGATAGTAAACTAGAGGTAAATCTGGAAAAATAAATTTTCTTTGGGGGCTATTTTGCCTCACAACATTCACACATCATGTAAACCTCCACCATGAATTGATTAAAATAAACGGGTAAAATACATTTTCAGAATTTCAAAACTTTCTCACAAAACTATAATAAACAATGTGTCAGACATCAGGCAGCATGCATCTAACCATTTCATGAACTTTCTGTGATGGAGCTTTTAAAGGTGGACATTGCTTGTTCTTGTCATCACCATTGTGAAGAATTCTGACTCGGCAAGTTTCCCTAGAAAGGAGCTTCATTTTATTATGCAGACATTTTGAAAAATTTATGTAATTCCCCTTTGAGGTGGATGAAGAAAGTGAGTGAACTGAAATGATTTACAAACTTGTAGTCATGTTTATGTGTAATACTGGTGCAACTCGAGTATAAAACAGCATATATGACTCATTACAGCAGCCGGTTCTTTATACAGAATAAATTCCCACAACAGTCTCAATGTAAAGAAAACAGCTGTGGTTAAAATGCCCACCAATGAGACACGTGCCTTTGAAGGTGATAACTAGTTGGGCAGCTGTCTCCAGAATGGACTGCACTACTTATTTTTGTTGTATGGAAAAATGTACTGAATTAAGACACAAATATTTTATTTTATTTATTTATAAATAAGAGAAAGACTGTCAGTAATGATTTCATATATGACTGAGGTACTGTTTAGACCATAAAACGTCTTCATCGTGAATACGACTACCCATCCCATCTATCTCTATTCACACTCATGCTGTCTGGAGAGAGAGTGAAAGATCAAGGATCAGTTTTCAGTTTCATTTAGATCAGAAGTTCCCAGTTCCAGTCCTGGTGTCCAAACTAAACACATTTTTATACTTTCTCTTATCTAGCATTCCTAATTCAATTCATTAACTGATTAAATGTTGAACTGTGAGTGTTACAGTAAGGAAAGCACAAAAATATGCAGAACATATGGTCTCCAGGACTGAGATTAGGAACATTTGAATTAGACTATCAAGTCCTGAATGGATCTCCCACCCTACACTTGCCTCTGAATAGACCTCAAACACCCACCATATACACAAGCTCTTAATCTAGCAGCCATTGACCAGCAACTCTCACCCAGACATGCACAGCTTTCAGAAAGCATTTCCTATTGTTTTAGAACAAACTGCTGTTTTCTCATCAAATTTGTACAAATAATGATACTCATCTTGGGTAATACCAGTATATCAGTCACTATTTCTACATTAATTACAACTACACGTCCAACATGACATGACCTCTTATTGCACATTATTTTATAAGTGAATGGCTGATGAAATCTGATTTATGTATTCAAACTGACGTTGACATGATAACATCAGCACGCAGAAGAACAGAAGCATATAAGATGAGTCAAGAATCACAAAGCTTGTTCTAAAACTTGGCTGGAAAGCACTCGTATTCTAATCCACTAGATAAGAGCATTATTACCGCAAAAAAATTAACTGACAAGTTTTCCAACTCGCAAATGTGTAGTATAAAGCACGAATAAATCAGAAACAAACTGCTCTATATTGGCCAAACCCAACTAGAAAAACATTATCATCCAAATTTTCTGTCCCAACAGCTCACATTACTCTGAACTGTACTACTGGTTTGAATGAAGCTGCTTCTGTGTTGGCCAATCAATTTTTAACGCATCAAATCTTATTTTGAAAACTCAAATGTGTCTCCAGCTGTTTGTCTCAGAGTGAATGAAGAACAATAAGTACCGGACAGCTTCCTACCGTCAATAGCTCAGATAGTTCAGCTCTTGTTTTTGTTCCTCCAACAACACTGTAGGCGTGGACTGCTGACCACAACACAATCTTCTGCTTCTCCGCTTTAGTGCAGCTGGACAAAGTTATAGTTACAGAATCAGCGCCACCACCTGGCCTGAAGCGGCTTCACACTGGAACCGTGCGGTCACGGAAACAGGCAGGACGGTCATTATTTTAAATCTCACACGTATTGAGAGCCAGTTGAACAGGAGTCTGGCTGCTTTCTGTTTCTCCCGTTATATCAAACCGCTAAACGTCAGAGGGCGCCCGAGTGAGTCCTCAGTGAATGGGGCTATATCAGAGAACTTTCTTTCTCTACAAGTAAATGCCACACTTGAAATCAACTCTGGACCTTGTATCTGCTTACTACTAAGTAAAACAACAAGGGAATAAGACACAACTTATCATAGAACAGATGGGGAGCCAACTGTCCAATTATTTTTGTGCCCATAAAAATGGGAGGGCTATGTATGAAAATGGTTGTAATTCCTATACCATTCATCTAATTTAGATGTGAATACCCTCAAACTAATGCTGAAAATTTGCACTTTGAGAACATATTCATTATTTAATTTGAAGTTAAATTTATGGGCCTAACTACTGATTCATCACTACAAATCAAATTATAAACTATAGTTCAGACTTGGATTGGTTCAGCAACATAACTGAACACAGTGTCACTGGTGAGGTTCAGTCAATAAACATAGTATCCCTCCTGCACATCCTAATGACGTCAGTAAGTCTGACACTCAGTCAGACTGAAGGCTATGAACGTCCCCAAATAATCACCTTTCACCCAGTTATATGATGATAGAGATACCAGCATCCAACTCCTGCACCATCGGCTGCCATCATGTCTGGTAGGATAGAGTGGAGATGGGCATATAGGTCCTTATTTCATATCATAGCACCCTTCTCAGGTATCAGTCATTCTCCAAAAATCACAAAGACCACCAACAATCTTTAAAGTCTCTGAAAAGAATAATGGAAAGTTCATGGATGATAGTCTGGCCTGTATGTGACTTTATGCTGTGTACAGGCATGCGTAGGCCACACTGAGTAGAGGTGACCAGTACATTACACCGACAGCTTGATGTTTCGCAGTTCTTCATACTCCTGTGTCTATAGTGATAATAATTACAAAGTAAACAACTTATTATCGAATGTGGAGCTTCTGAATTGTTTGCACCATATTATTAATGATGTACTTCATTTTATGCTCATGTATTAGAAAGGGCATAGAACAACACACACACACCTTCTAAGCCACTTATCCTTCTGGGTCGCAGGGGGGAGCTGGAGCCCATCCAGTCATTGGGCAGAAGGCAGGATACACCCTGGACAGGTCGCCTGTTCATTGCAGGCCAGACAGACAGACAGACAGACAGACATGTACATTGACACACACACTCACACCTGGGGCAATTTAGCATGTCCAGTTGGCCTGACTGCATGTCTTTGGACTGTGGGAAGAAACCGGAGTACCCAGAAGAGACACGGGTAACCCACACACACACAGGGAGAACATGCAAACTCCACACAGAAAGGACCCCAGATTGCCCGGCTGGGAATTGAACCCAGGCCCTTCTTGATGTGAGACAACTGCCAGAAGTAAAAGTTTGTAGGGAACGGTGCTTTTTTACCCACTGCGCCACCATGCCGCCCTGCAAAGGACAACAATAGATAGATTTTCCCTCTAAAAAAAAAGCACCATTCCCTACAAACTTTTACTACTGGCATGGTGCTGAGGTTACATATATTGCTGCGTATTTCCACCACTGCTCTTAGTACACTTGTGTGTCATCACAGATCTTGAAAGCCTGAAACTCTTCCCACACTCTGAGCAATAATACAGCTCCTCTCCTGTGTGAATGCGCTGGTGTCGACGGAGATGGCGTTGATGAATAAAACTCTTCCCACATTCTGAGCAGTGATATGGTTTCTCTCCTGTGTGAATGCGCTGGTGTTGTTGGAGAGAACTCTGATGACTAAAACTCTTCCCACACTCTGAGCAATAATACGGCTTCTCTCCTGTGTGAATGCGCTGGTGTTGTTGGAGATTACTCTGTTGAGTAAAACTCTTTCCACACTCTGAGCAGTGATATGGCTTCTCCCCTGTATGAATGCGCTGGTGTTCTTGGAGGTTACTCTGACGATTGAAACTCTTCCCACAATCTGAGCAATAATACGGCTTCTCTCCTGTGTGAATGCGCTGGTGTGTTTTGAGAAGAATCTGTTGATTGAAACTCTTCCCACACTCTGGACAGAAATACGGTTTAGCTTCTGTGTGAATGTGTTGGTGTTGTTGGAGAGAACAGCGTTGATTAAAACTCCTCCCACACTCTGAGCAGTGGTAAGGCTTCTCTCCTGTGTGAATGCGCTGGTGTATTTTGAGATGACTTTGTACAGTAAAACGTTTCCCACATTCTGAGCAGTGATAAGGCTTCTCTCCTGTGTGAATGCGCTGGTGTACTTTGAGAGTACTCTTTTGATTAAAACTCTTCCCACACATTGAGCAGTAATACAGCTTCTCTCCTGTGTGAATGAGCTGGTGTCTTTTGAGAGTGCTCTGTTGAGTAAAACTCTTTCCACACTCCAAGCAGTACTGATTTCTCTCCTTGCTGCGTTTCTGTGTTTGTCTGTGAGATGTGTTCATGTGGAGGGTGCCAGATGATGTTTGATGAGTACTGGAACGTCTTCTGGACGTCATGTTCATATGTATAACCTGTTCTATAGCTTAATATTCCTCTTGTTGGAATGTTCTCATGTGTTTATAAAAGCACACACACAGGAGAAGACTTGAAACAGGACATCATGTATTTCTGGAAGAAGAAAAAAGAAAAGATGAACTCAATGTGCAATTAAACAAAAGTAGTCTGATCCAAATCAAGAATGCTTCACTTGCATCAACTGGCAGAATGTGTAAAGAAAGAATAAATATTAATCTGATGTGGAAAAGCCAATCACCTAATCACTCAAACTCTAAGTGTAGACCACTGAAGTAATGTAGCGATGCCCATATTGGAAACTCTGGGGCTAAGCTGGATTTCTCCAAAGGCAAAAATGACTGGTATTATTCAAAAACCGACACCATTACATCCCAAGGTAAACAAAACAATTCGAACCTTGATACGTTTTATTCTACGTACATTTTTTAACTGAATGTTACTGCATCTTCTGCTTTACAGGTTGTTAAGGAGCCGAAATATCAATTTTGCTACAGGTGTTTTTTTGTTTGTTTCAGTAAGGTCTCAGAGATGACCCATTAGGCCTTAACTCCAGTCATATATAGACAAATGCAGAGCATAATAAACTTCGTCACCAAATGTCTGAGGGTGCTTACACCACACAGACATGAACTCACTTAAACAGCTGACTGAAGATCTGAAACTAAAAATAACCTCATGGACTGATCACCCATGGCTGAGGAGCTTGTACAATGAATATTCCGAAACCCTGGCGGCAGAGAGACTGCAGCAAGAGCAATATGGCCCTGCACACCTCAGAGACTTTATTCTGTGTCTGTGTGGACCGCCGAGACAGCTGGCTTTTGGAGGACAGCAGGGTTATGTGGAATTAATTACATGCTCTGTATTTCAGTAGAGGCTTCAGAGGCGTGGTGTACAAAGTTGTGCTGTGCACTCTGCACACATAATTTCAATCACCATAAGTATAATTTAAAGACAAGGGCTGTGCTATGATTTTGGCTATATTTACATGTAAAACGATCAATCAGACAAAGCTGACAGGTGATAACAGTCACAAGATCAAACAGTTTAAATTAAACAAAAGAGGTGCAAACCATATAGATTAGTGACTGGTCCTTGGCAACACTGTTCGCACACATGCAGCTTATTCACGTCTAAATCAGCTGCTGTGCGGACTGAACATACTGTTCCGCCTCTCTGCCATTCACTGAACAGAGCAGATGCAGAGAGAGGTGTGTCTCTTGCTTGCGGGGAAGTAGTGAAGACTCTTCTATAGAACGTAGCTAAGGTTTGTCCAAAATGTCGCTAGCTTTGCCGCTAGGAGTAACAGTGGCTGAAGGGGTCTGAAAAGTCACTAAATCTAGTGACAAAGTCTCTAAGTTGGCAACATTGCGCAGAAGTAGCTCTGAAGCCATGGGTTGAGCTACTCAGATACGGGGAGGTATAATTCTAATGAATCCCCATTTTATGTTGTAAGGGGAGCAAAATCTGAACAGCTTGTCGAATCCCATGTTTTGTTTCACAGTTTGTAGGATGGTCCACTCCACATACCCAAATGTATGTGCACAAGCACTGAAAAAGGGAGATTCTCATAATATGTCCCCTTTAAGGTGGACAAGGGCAGTAAGTGAACTGAAATGATTCACAAACTTGTAGACACATTTGTGTAATCATGAGCATTGACAAGCCACTTCTAGGGAGGCTCTAGCCGCTCCTAAATGTTATTTATCAGATGCTAGAGGGCGCTCCAGAGTGAATCCAAAATTAAAGGATTCATATGGAGCTTTTAAGCAAAATCATTGTTTGTAAATGCTTTTTTCAGTATAAAAGAATGCATTAATTTCTTGAACATAGAACAGCAAAACATTTTAACACCGCTGTCATATTCTTGAACACTTCTGAACTTCGGTTATAGGACATTATACACAGTTAGTTAATTAGATAAACTAATAGGAAATACGTAAATAAATTAAGAATTTGTACTGTTTGCCCTACCATTGTGAATGTAAAAAAATATGAATATAAGGTAATGACGTGTATTAGGGTGAGACAAAATAGAGTCTGTAAATGGAGAACCAATCTGTCTCTGTAAGAAAAATCAGATGTACAATATTTACCTGTGTACAATACTGTTTTATTCGTCTTATTACCAGTTATTTTTTATTATTAAATTAGCTTGGGCCAGACTAAAACCAAGTTTTCCTTACAGCAGTAGACGTGTTCTCTGTCTTTGGTATGGAATTTCTCTGGCACAGTGTGAATAAGGCTCTCAATATTCACACAGAGTTTCAGCTTCCCATTTATTTATCCGTGTGCATTACTGCTCTATAAACTGCCATGTTGCCAGTTATTTTTTAAGTATCAAACCAGCTTGGGCCACATTAAAACCAGGTTTTTCTTCTAGGAACAAACTGGTTCTCCGTTTGGATTGCCAGCTACTTCTGAGATTGGAACATACTACTAAATCTATATCAGATTAGCCTGTCTACCTTAGAAAACTCAAGACTGAATTCTATCTTCAATGTCATACTTTAAACTACTTGCAATATAATAACGTAAGTAAAAATTAAATGAAGGGATATCATATATCTGCTAAACGAAATAGGTTATTACCTCATAATCACATTTTTTATAATCACAAATGGTAGGGCAAATATATCTAGTACAAATTCTACATTTATTTGTCTTCATTATTAGTTTATCTAACCTAAGTCTGTCAAAATGGAACCTGCGCAGCAAATATGCGAACGTGAACACTCCCTTTTGTTTACAGTCGCTCACTGAATCAGAATAAGGAGCAACTTCAGCCGTGGTGGATACATGGCTATTGCCATATTATTCATAAATGCAAATATGTATTAAAAACTAACGTTAGTCACATTTTTTTCGTCGCTTTACGAACAGTACTATTATTATTATTATTATTATTATTATTATTATTATTATTATTATTATTGTTGTTGTTACGCTAGAGGTTCCCTCGAGAGACACGAAGGAATTAGGCTTACAATCCTTAACGCAGCTTCATTTAAAACGCGTGACAGCAGGCGAGAAACACAGTGATGCAGCAAGCGCGGTTAAGCTAATACTAACCGAACTCTGCCTCTTGAGCTAAAGGCTAAAAACAAAGTCCCAGGCTAGACCTACAGTTTTACCAACCTGTCCTTTACAATGAGTCCTTACAGAAAGAGAACAAAAATACATGCATTTCTACTTCACTAAAGCATCAATAGACATGAACATGTTTCGTTTATAACAACCTAAATACAAAATGGAGTGGCTACGCAAATAAGCTGTTATAGCTTTATCTTCGCCCTCATGTTGCCTAGCAACAGTGCTTACTCTGTTAACGGACTGCATTGTGTGACGGAAGAACGCAGCTGTTTGTCTCAGAGTGAGTGAAGAACAATGGGCCTCGTTCACCAACCAGATTCTTCTTAAAACCCACGTACGCAGTTTTCACAAAGATTCGAACAATCACCAATGTTTTCTTATTTGTGATTTGTTTATGGGTAAGAACAGAATCTACACACACTGAAGAGCACAGAGGTGCGAACAATTCTGAGGTTTAAGAACACGCTGTGAAACTGACGTAGACTTTGTAAAGAACAAATTTAACAAAACAGTTTGGAAGATACTGGTGAATGAGGGACAGCTCCCCACCTTCAATAATTCAGCTCTTGTTTATGTTCCTCTGACACTGTATGAGCGCGGAGGCGTGGACTGCGGACCACGACACAATCTTCTTCTTCTCCGCTTTAGTGCAGTTGGAGAAAGTTATAGTTACAGAATTAGCGCCACCACCTGGTCTGAAGCGGCTTCACACTGGAACCACGCGGTCACGGAAACAGGCGGAACGGTCGTTATTTTAAATCCCAGGTCTAGCTCGAAAGGTTATTTTGCTCACTCTAACTTCTTCAAAAGCCTAAGCCCTTGCCTGAGGCGTGTCTAGCCCCTTTTAGGGTTTTTTTTTGAAGAAGTTTGTCCCAAACAAATGTATGATTTCTCTCTCCCTACCCTTCCCCCGCTCGCTGTACACACACACGCGCATACACACACACACACACACTAATGCCAGTTACAGTTTGGTTGTCTGTGGTGTGGTGGCTCCAGTAAGTATCGCAGACGAGGATTCCTTTACTTTATGACTCCGCAGCAACACAATGATTATAATCATTAGTAGCAGTCCTCTTGTGTCCTGCATTGAATCACAGATCACTCTGTATGCTGTTATTGATAGGTAGGAGTTTGCTAGCTGGTGTTTTTTTTTAATCTAACAAGCGAATGTTGCAGTTTGTCAGTCAACCACTGTCCACTGTTTAAATTCGAGTGAGAGAAACTAGCTGTTGTGCCATTGGTAGGCCTATGTGTTGATATTAAAGCCAAGGTGCTAGACTAGTACTGGCTGAATGTGTCTTAGCTAACAGATGTTATATGATAGAAGATATGATAAGGTAGATAATGCCCATCTTTACATTTTTATTAATTTTTTTATTTATTATACATTCCTCATTATATTTTACCTTTAATACAATTTCATTTGTAATACTTTGTAAACAAAATGATGGCTTTGTGGCTCACATGCTCAGCATTAAAAGAAGTTTTCTCAGATTTGTTAGTCACTGTGAAATAATAGGCGTGTAATAATGAATGAACCAAAAATCAGTTTATTACTGAATTACTAATATTACTACTTAGATTGGCTGTGGTACAGGAGCCCGCCAGGGCGTTGGGGCAGTGTCTTGTGTTTTAAAAATGTTTGCGCGGCAGAGGACGCCCAATAGCGTTTAGCCGACGCGTGGACAGCCGTCCAATGTGAGGCGGGCAGATCCAAGACGCCCAATGAGCGGCGAGCAGCTCGAACGCTTAAAAGGGCCGTGGCATGTGCGTGAGGTTATTCTTTTTCTGTTGGCGAGAAGAGCAGTGTTTGACGCCATGGCAAGAACCAAGCAGACTGCCCGTAAATCTACTGGGGGCAAGGCCCCGAGGAAGCAACTGGCGACTAAGGCTGCACGCAAGAGCGCCCCGGCTACCGGCGGCGTGAAGAAACCTCACCGTTATAGGCCCGGCACCGTGGCTCTGCGGGAGATCCGCCGTTACCAAAAATCAACAGAACTGTTGATCCGTAAGTTGCCTTTCCAGCGCCTGGTGCGTGAGATCGCTCAGGACTTCAAGACTGATCTCCGCTTCCAGAGCTCTGCCGTCATGGCTCTGCAGGAGGCCAGTGAGGCGTATCTAGTGGGTCTGTTTGAGGACACTAATCTGTGCGCCATTCACGCCAAAAGAGTCACCATCATGCCCAAGGATATCCAGCTGGCCCGCCGTATCCGCGGAGAGCGCGCTTAAATTAAGCGGAGTGCATCCAGATTACCCCAAAAAGGCTCTTTTAAGAGCCACTTAACTGTTTCAGGCCAAAAGAGCAACTGTCCTAGTAACGCATGGCTTCTATCGTGTTGTGACGTAATAAGAGAGCTCCGTATGTGATTGTATAATAGAAGCACCGTCTATTAATTTGCTGAACGAAGAAAACGAACAAAAGTGAAGATATGCAAAGTGACTACTTGAATTGAATATTTGTTATACTGCGTACATAAAATGGGAAAGGATGAAATGATCATTTTAGAGTAATCACAACGACCAAATCGCATCATTTCATACATAAGTTCATCATTTACAGTACGGAGCCTAGTGGTCTTTCTTGGTCTTGCCGGGTCACAGTTTGACCACAGGATGGCGCTCAAGCTTCATGACATATGCTTGAAAGCTGTAGCATTTATGTCCTACATTAACTCTTAACTCGATTATATACAACACACATATATTTCTTACAGACTCCTTACTCCATGACATGACAGTTCTTTACATTTAGAGCAGCCTAGATGAACCCACTTTGACTTTTAGTTATGAAATATTTTCTTACATTAAGAAGAATTGTATTGCAATTTATAAATATCTTTCTTTTTTCTTTTCCTGTCCTTTTTATCTTTTGTACTCTGGACAATTTTTGACGTTTCGACCTAAAATAACATGCAATTTAGAAGGCTGTGAAATGCTGCTACTAATAATGATATTGGTAATGGTAATAGTTAAAATAATACGAGTGTTATTTATTCGATGGCAGTATTTCCTTTGTGTGTTTTTTTTTTTATTCCATCGTGTGTGGTGTTTTCTCTGTAGTGTCTGTTGCGCGTGGCTCCGCCTTCAGTGCTTTGGTTTCAACTAGGTCCTGTAGAGGAGCATAATAGGCGTGTGCGGCCCTACAGTGCATCATTGAGTTTCTTTTCGTCGAGGAAGAAAAGAATCAAGAGAGGATGTCTGGCAGAGGCAAGGGAGGGAAGGGTCTTGGCAAAGGAGGTGCAAAGCGTCACCGCAAAGTACTCCGCGACAACATCCAGGGTATTACCAAGCCGGCTATCCGCCGTCTGGCTCGCCGTGGTGGCGTCAAGCGTATTTCCGGTCTGATCTATGAGGAGACTCGTGGTGTGCTTAAAGTGTTCCTGGAGAACGTGATCAGGGACGCCGTCACCTACACTGAGCACGCTAAGAGGAAGACCGTCACCGCTATGGATGTGGTGTACGCCCTGAAGCGTCAGGGACGCACCCTGTACGGCTTCGGCGGTTAAACGCTCGACTCGATCAACTTTAAACCCAACGGCTCTTTTAAGAGCCACCCCACATACCCACCGAAAGAGCTTTCCCGTGCCTCATCCGGTAGTAATTAAAAGGCCAGATGTGTTTTTCCTCAACTTTTAAAAACGATCAGATTAGAGCGAACTTAATCTAATGCTAGAACTAGAGAAAGAATGGGGTAGAATATGTAAGCTAGCATGATGGTCCCAAAATGTGTTTAACATTGTACCATCATTTTATCTCATGCGCTTTCGTGAGTTGATGAGCGTATAGCTTGCATGCCTGTGTATAGAAGAGGAAAAAAAACGCTTTATTTTGAATAAGCCTGACGAGGATAAATGCATTTTACAGAGAACAGTAGCTAAGAATGCGCGGGAAGATGAACAGAGGGAGAGGGAGAGGGAGGGGGGTTGGGCAAGTTGTCCCCCAAGCGAGCCGTTATACGTTGTCCAATGATCGTTTAAGGCACCCGGAAGGGCGGAGCCTGTTACACTTTGAATTTCGGAGTCTAAATAAGCCGGGCGCCGGTCCCCCTCCCCCTCATTCTTCAGTCGTGCTCGAAGAGAAGAACAATGCCTGAGCCAGCGAAGTCCGCCCCGAAGAAGGGATCTAAGAAAGCCGTGGCCAAGACGGCCGGGAAAGGAGGCAAGAAGCGCAGAAAGTCCAGGAGGGAGAGCTATGCTATCTACGTGTACAAAGTGCTGAAGCAGGTCCACCCCGATACCGGCATTTCCTCCAAGGCGATGGGCATCATGAACTCGTTCGTCAACGACATCTTCGAGCGCATCGCCGGTGAGTCATCCCGTTTGGCTCATTACAACAAACGCTCCACCATCACTTCCAGGGAGATCCAGACTGCCGTGCGTCTGCTTCTTCCCGGTGAGTTGGCCAAGCACGCCGTGTCTGAGGGCACCAAGGCCGTCACCAAGTACACCAGCTCTAAGTAAAAGGTGACGAAGACTTCAACAAACCCAACGGCTCTTTTAAGAGCCACCCACGTTTTCGTGTAAGGAGCTTTTTTTGTTTTTGTTTTATTTGAAAAAAAAAACGCACGATGTTTCTGTTCGGAGGTAAGGAGAAAATGTTACGGCACTGTTAGTCTGGTGTTCCCGCGCAATTGCTTTGTTTGCCTATTCCTGTATTGTGTGGGTAATGGCACGCTATGTATGTATGCAAATTATATGAACATGCAAGTGAGATATACTCCACCAAATACATCACTCCTGTTCTGAAAGAACTGCACTGGTTATCTGTATCTTTCATGTTAGATTTTATAGTTCTGCTGTTAGTTTTTAAGGCTCTAAATGACTTAACTGTGATCTAAGATCTGCACAAAGGGGTCTTCTGCAAGCATTTTCTGTAATACAGAAAAGGTGAAAAGGTCTCTTTCACTTATGCCACTGAACTGGAACTCAGTTCCACCTTTTGTTAGTCAAGCTCAGTGCATTTTTTAAAGAAGCATTTAAAAATGCATTTCTCTTTTTTCCTCTTCCTTCTTTTTCATGTGCATGTGTATTCATGAATAAAAATTGTGTGCACATATGTATGTTTTGTATTAATAAGAGCTGTTTACATACATATTCTTTTAAGCAGTGGAGCTAGGCCCCAGACTAATGATGTTGTTAGTGTGAGAAAGTAGTTGGTTAGTCAGACCATAGGCTTATGATGAAGTTAGATTGAGCATATGTATGTTTATATGTAGGTCTCAGGTTAATAGTAAAGTTATAGTGGGTACAAGCAGGTTTAGAGCTAGGCCTTAGGTGTCTGATGAAGTTAAACAAAGGGAAGCTTCCAGCTAGGTGTCAGATTACTCTTGTAGTTAGAGTGTATAATAATAGGTGCAGGGCTAGACTTTAGACTTATTGTGTTGTTAGAGCTAGGCCATAGGCACATGATGACGTTAGAGAAAGCATAAGTGAGATTAGGGCTAGGCTATATGTGCTTAAAGGAGGTTTAGAGGTGAAGCTCAGGCTTATAATGTAGTAAATGCTACATTAGCCACGTTTACATGCAGCCTGATAATCCGTTAATAATCCGACTAATAGCTCAATCGGAATAGAACACGTCCATGTAAACACCTCAATCGGAATAGACTAGTCCGATTGAGGCCTTTCGGAATACAATTTCTATCCGATTGAACGAGGTGGGTAAACTTCTAAATAATCCGTTAAATAGAAGAATAATAGCCATGTAAACGCCTGAATCCGATTACATTCCAATCGGAACGTGTAAGTATGTTCTGCGCATGTGCGTCGCGTCATGGCGAAAGTTTATACCGTTCAGCATGGCGGAGCAGAAACGGGTCTGCAGGGGAGACGAAGTTTATGCTCTGAGCTTTAAAAGACGGCGGTGGGACGGACGACCAGCTTATGAGTCTCAGAACACGACGTCTTCCTCTCGCCGCTTCCTTTATAAACACATGTGAAGCACGTCTGACATCATTTTAAAGCAATTAAAACACAAGCGCGCCAACTGGAAACTCATATCACGTGGACTGGACCTCACGTGATGTTCGTTGTCATGGTAACGTTTACTCTAAACGCTACTCCAGTATGTGCGTCATTTTGCATCGGATTACTTGTAGTGAGCATGTAAACGAAGATTTTCCATCAAATCGTTGAATAGAGTGTGCATATAAACACCTCAGTCTGAATCTGTAATCAGATTGTATTCAATCGGATTGGCAAAAATCTTTGCATGTAAACACAGCCATTTAGAGCAATGCCTTTGGCTAATGATGACAGAGTAAGGAGCAGAAGGTGTAATGTCTAAACTTTAAGTTTATGATCAAGCAACAATATTTTTAGATGTAGGCCATGTGTAAAACAATGAAATAAAAGAAGGAAGGGAGCAAGGCATTAGGCTTCTGATGAAATTACAGAAATAAAAGTAGGCATACAGCAAGGCTTTGAGTTCATGATGTACTTAGAGTAAGTAAGTAAGCTCAGAGCTAGGCATGAGGCTTATACTGTAGAAATATTAAAGAATAGTCAGTGTAGACCAAGGCCTTAGGCTTATGATGAAGTCAGAGTAAGCAAAAGTGGGCTTCCATCCAGGCCCCAGGCTAATGCTGAGGTTACAGTAAGTAAAACAGGTTAATATATAGGGCTTTGATTCCTAATGTAGTTAGTATGAATGAAAGAAGGTAAAGAGGGAGCCATCAGGCTTATAAAGAAGTTATGATGATAAAGTACAAGTAGGTGCTGAACATGCCTTTACACTGTAAAACCTAATGAGTTCAGTGAACTTAAATGGTGTAAGGAAACCGATTGCCTTAAACCATTTAAGTGTAAGTCACTGAAATCTGATGAGTTAGGCAAACTTAAATGGTTTGAGGAAACCGATTGTTTTAAACCATTTAAGTTTAGGTTACTCAAATCATTTGACCATGAGTAATTCCCTGAACTGAGTATGAACAACACATTTGTTTACTACTGTATACACTTAAGAAAATTGAGTAAATCACTCCTTCGATCTTAGAATAATTTTGTATTTTGGACTTATATAGCCACTCAAGTTCAGCTAACTCAGTATCTTCCATTAACAGCTAAACTAGGCTTTAATTTTTAATTTTAACAACTTTATACTGAACGGCAGAACGTTTTGACAAGAATGCCTTAAACAGCTTAACTTAATACTGCTCTGGACCATCTCACCCAATATTGTAGTTCAGCCAAGAATGCAGAAGTATTCAAAACCACACTGAGCGGTGGTGCAAAGTCTACAGCGACTGTGGACAGTTGCGCGTTCTGATTGGTAGTCTACGGTCGAATTCTGCGATCTGATTGGGAGTCTACGGTCGAATTCTGCGATCTGATTGGTAGTCTACGGTCGAATTCTGCGATCTGATTGGGAGTCTACGGTGACTCCTACACTGCGTAGACTCTAGACCAATCGCATTCATGATCGCTACCGCCGTGTGTAAGTCTAGACTAATCGTGTGTCGGATACTCGATCGTTGCCGCTGTGTACAAGTCTAGAGCAGTCTCTTGTCGATGCTTGATCGCTGCCGCTGTGGGCAAGTCTAACGTTTCTCTGAGATACAAGTGACCCGTTGGTGAACGTGCATTAAGGTAAGATTTGAGAAACAATGTTAGAAGAACAGCGTTTGAATGAGCGTTTGAGAGTTCTGTTTCAATGAAAGCATTATTATAAGAGTTCTGTTGACGTTAACCGGCTAACATTACCGCTAGTTAGTGTCTCTTAGCATACCGGAGTTCTTTTAAATGACTGGTTTTATAGGTTATGCTCACGGCAAATTTTCTGTCGATATCCATTCTGTCTTGTGTTAGCCAGCTAAATAGGTTGAAACACACAAGACTGAATAACTTATTTGAGCAATAAAGATGTTGCGGCGACCCCAATTGTCTAACTGAGGGTGTCACAGTGCATCTGTGTTTTACCTCAGTGACAATAGAATCTTGTTCTTGTATAACTTTTAACCCCTCAGATTTCTCTGGTATTTCTGCATATAAAACGCAGTAGTTTAACCCAGCTCCACCTCCAGCAGCTCCAACAGTAACATGCTGCTTAAACTCTCATGCCTCAATATGAATAATTTAATGATGTCATATATCATAATATATCAGTCAGAGGAACCAAACCAGTACGTTTACTTTAATACTACAATTTACCTTTAAAACTTCTGTACTTTTACTTAAGTAGGATTTTTGATGCAGGACTTTTACTTGTAATTGAGTGTTTTAACATTGCTGTGTTAGTACATTTACTTACACAAGAATCTGAATACTTTTTCCAACACCAAACACTGCTGTTGTTGTGGCTTTACTGTATCTAAGTGTTTTTAGCTAGAACTGAAGATGGCAACCCCAGTTATCCGCGTCGTCAACCCAGATGCCCCTGCGAAACGTCAACAGGCTGTACTAGTGGTGACTAAAGAAGCCCGTTACTATCGGGAGAAAAAATGGTCTTCCCGAGACCTCCACAGGAGCTGCTGAACAAGGCCACTGCCCTGGCCCAAGCAGAGAGACTCCTTCAAGCAGAGGGTATCCCTGCACCATCGCATCAGCTGTGCTTGGGAAAGCTGGTGGTGCCATTTGGGCAGTATGAGAATGCCCCATTCTGCTGGCTTGTGGCAAACGGTGTGGGCTACATGAAAGAGTAAGTATATTATATTTTTAATGCTATTGTAGGCTATGCATTTAAAAACCATTTGATGGCATGCTTAAAAGAAATTACCTACATATCTGTTTGCACAAAACTATGGCTATTATTAGTGGTTTTGCAAAGTTGCTTTACTCATACGTATATGATTCCAGCATAATTGACAAGCACAGGTCAGAGGTAGCAAACCCACATAGGAAGGCTGAGATACTGAACGGGTGGGTGAAAGACTTCCTCGCAGAATATGCAGAGAGCTTCCCACAAGACAACATTGACAGGTGTATCTACAGTCAGAGAGGGTTTGAGGATCACACTTTTCAAGAGGCGTGGGAGCTCTACAGTCAGTACCCTACCCAAAAATACAGGCCAGAGCAGTTCAGTGATGAGCAGAGGGAAAGAATACAGAAGGCATACAGTTCTGTGAGGAGGTGGTTGCACACACCAGTGACGCACATCATAAGTGTGCAGATGAAGAGGTTCAGGAAGTATATTAATGATAAGGACAGAGTAAGTGTTATGAAACAGGAAGAGAGCAGAATAGCATTGTACATTAATAGTTAAATGTTATTTTAATCATGTCGGCTGAATGTGTCAATAAAAAACTGGTATGTCATAAAATCTAGATAGTTACAATACCTTTGTTTTCCCGCAACCGCAGACAAGCACCACCAAGTGTGATCCTACATCATGGCCAGGTGATGACACTGAACTCTTAGCTGCAAGCCAGTCTGTGGAAGGTAAGTAAGATACAGAGTTAATGGATGTCAAACGGGTTCTAAAAAAATTCATAATACAAAACTACTTTGTTTGGTAAATTCATCGGCCCACGGCCAAGATCAAGCCGCCTGAGTTCGCTGTCTTGCCAAAACAGCCTGAGGCGGCTATCCAGCCGAAGAAACCAGAGTCTGTTGTCCGGCCAAAAAAGCCACTGTCCATCTAGAACAGCCTGAGCCATCTGTCCGGCCCAAACAGAACGCATCCACTAGCCAGCACACAGAGTCCTCGTCCACAACCCAGGGCCATGATTATCCTGTGGAATCACTTCACAGTGACACCCCTGCAAGTGCTATTCACATTATATACAAACAGCGTAAATCAGAACAGTTTGTTTTACTTGTTTCTTTTTTTTTTTTGGTAATTACTTGTTTTAATATTATTTTGTACACAATAATGACCAAATGTTTTGTGTATGTTATGTGCGTTGCAGGTGGAGCTAGAGAGTTGGGTGCGTCTGTGGGAAAACCCCAATGGCATCCCGTTTGCTGACATTTCCTGGCTCAAAGAGGACACCGAAAGAGGGCTGTTCACTCCAATTCAAATCTACAGGCACAATGCTGGTCTGTTCAAGAGGCAACGGGTGATGAAATCGGACTGCATGCGGTTTTACCCACCGGAACCTCCCGGCTACATCAGGGGTGGTCTGCCAACTCCTCAGCCAAGGAGCCGAGTCTTTGTGTGGCGCCCTGTTGGAGTGTGGAGGTACTCCCTGAAGTGTCCTCGAGGTGATGAATGTGTGGGTAGAGGACAGAATGTGCACCTCTACAAGTCTGGCTACCACCCCCAGGTATAATTCACTTCTACTGTGTTTGAGTTGAATTACATTACAGTTGAGTATTTTTTACTGTGTATGTAAATATGCAAAATTAAGAGTGCAGAAAGTCATATGCTGCTAATGGTTTTTATTATTATATGTACATCAGGTACGCCACATCTGTGATGTGTCCAGCTGGTACACAATGCTCACTGAGGTATTGTGCTGTGGACCCTGTACAAAGACGGCCAGGAGTGGAGAAGGTGGAACAGTAGGTCAGTGGCTTGCGTGGGATCCCGCTATTTTATCACAGCTTAGTGAGGCTCATGAAGCTATGTTCCCTGCCATCCTCACCAGGAGGTGTGCATTAAACTGACTTTAAAGTAGTCGCTCAAATCAACCTCAACGTATTGATTGTGACTCCACTTACAGGCATGGTGTGGATAGGAACGTTGTGCGTCTTCTGAGGGATTGGACCGAAGGCAACACTATGGTCAAGGTGTGGCGGCAGATACAGGAGAATCATGTTGAGGAGTACCTTCAACGTAAGGACCTGTACACCACACTCCTCATGACTGTCGTGAAACCCAGAGGGATCGTCCCTGCGGGCACACTGCAGAGCTTCCCTCTGCATGGCTCCTGCGACACGCCTTCCTGCTGGCAGCGGCCAACAATGTGCAGGATTACAGGAGCCAAATCCTCTCCACTTTTGGCACTGTGTTCAAAATGGATTCCACCAAGAAAGTATGTATATTAAAACGCAATGCCATGCTGTACAATGCTAAACACAGTTGCAAAATTATTTTTAAAAAATCAATTATAGAATCTAACAGTGGCTATCATATTATGCAAACATATTTTTTAGGTGGTGAAGAAGCTGTCTGGGGAGGGTGCAGGCTCAGCTGAGTGGTTCACCAGCATTGGAAATGAGCACTCCCAAATAGTTTCCTTTGTGCTGACCTGTGAGGAGTCTGCTGAGAAGCTGCAGCCGATGTGCCATGGAGTGATGAACAGGTTTCGGCTGGCCAATCAGCCTGTCCTCAAGATCTTGTATGTGGACAGTGGGTGTTGCCGTGCACAGGGCCTAACAGCTGTGGAGACCTTGTTCCAGCCTTGGGTGGACAATGGGATGGTTGTGCATCTGGACATCTTTCACTGGATCCACCGGTTTGATGCAGCCATCCACACAGAGTCTCACTCCAAGTATGCCATGTTCAAGTCTGCGCTGGCTGGGACAGTGCTGGCGTACAACTGCACAGAGCTCATCATCAGGGCTGTCAGAGCTAAGGACCTGCCAACGCTGAAGTCTGTGTCAGATGAGGATGTTGTACGCCGCTATATTTCCAGGGAGCAGCTGAAACACCATGTTCGGAGGGTTACACTCGGGGCTCAGGAAACATTCCGACTCGTCCACCTGGCCATTGAGGAGCTGAAAGGTCCCGCTGGGCGAGACGAGAATGGAGTGAGCCTCTTCAATACAGCTGGTAAAAAAGATCTCATACAAAAAAAAGTTATTACAACATTAACACAGAGTGCAGCATGCAAAGCGAACCTAACACACTGTATGTGTGTGTGTGCATATGTATGTGCATTTATAGAGGCCATTGAGGAGATGTGGGCAGCCCAGCAGCGACATCTGGAGTGCATTCAGGATCCACCACATATGAACATATGAATAGGGTGGCACGTACCACAACCATCAATAACGTGGACGTGCCCTATTATAAATGTTTGTGTGGAAACAACAGCCTGGAAGGATTCCACAAAGTTCTACCGAACAGGATTCCAGATATATATAAGTGTAAGCTGTAGGGTCGACACTTGACCCTATCTTTATTCTAATACCTTCTATTGTGATGTTCAGGTCACCACTGTGCAGCACGGCCCTATCGGGTTTATCTGATAAGTGGCATAGCACGGTGGAACTCAGACCGGACCTCCGATGCTGTGTTTGGTGGCAAAGGATGGCACCACAGGATTTATTCTGCGCCACTGATTGACCGCCTCAACACCCGCTGTCGGCAGCTGTTCGGAGAGACTGTGGAGGAGAACCTCTGGGCCCCTGCTGATGTCCCCTCCAATGAGCTGGTTGGGTTAGAGTACCTGTTCAGCCAGAGCACGGGTGAATCCTTCTCTCTTCAGGACATTGTCAATGATGGACCCAGTCCAGAGGAGGAAGTGGTTCACCCTGAGCAGCCCGATCCAGGTGAAGCTGATGAGGCGTACCAGAGCGACGTGGAGGCACATGACGATGCACTGGATGCTGACTTGCCTCACATCACGCTCACTAGCGACGAAACCTCCACTGTTCACCCTCCGACCTTTGTGAGTAGCTGTGTGTCTGCTAAAATTTTACACAGTGCAATGACTACTGCAAAAAAAAGTATGCGTTTGTACTTACAACATTCGTATGGCATTTTTTAACAGGAGGATGCCTGCAGTCCAAACCCTCTTCCTGGCTTTCAAAAGCTGGAAATGTTCTGCTCTTTGCTGGTGAATATTGGCCTGACAGAGGACAAGCTGTCACTTACCACTGAGCAGAGGAACAGAGTCCTTGAAGCCTGGAATGCAGTGGAAGAGCATGACAAGCAGCCACAGCATTTTAACCAGTTGTACAGAACACACTGGGGCAATACCCTCTATTGCTGCACAAAAAGGGATGATCTTGTTGATGCTGCTGTGATACAGAGGGTGAAGATGGCCAAGCGCTACGCACCAGCACAACAGGACATCAGTGCTCAGAACAACAGGCTGATGTACACGCTGGTGAAACTTGTGGTTGCGCTCACCTCAAGGGTCTCGCACCATTCTTTTAATTTGTAATTAAATGTGTGTTTAAAATATTTTCAGTGTTTTGTTTTACAAATAAAGATGTCAGAAACAGTAATACCAAGCATATGCATATTCCTTTTAGATCATTTTGTGACATTTACAATGCTTTTGTTACTTAAGATAAAAACTTATGTACTGTTCTTACCTAACTTCAGCGAAACCTTTATTTTGTTAGCTGTACTTTTAATATTAACACGCAATCAAAATCAGATTCAGAATCTTTATTTACCAAGTACAAGAAACGTTTTTGGTTGCCGGTAACTAAGGAGTATACAACAAATGGTATGTGTTACTAGATTTGCCTTAGCAAGTGTAACAGATGAGTAAAGTAAACCCAAAAAAATTAAGTTAGTGCAATTGTTACATTTTACAGTGTAGGCTTATAATAATGCTTAAAGGGAATCATAAACCTCTAAGGCCTAGCTTCCTAGCTACTGTTACTTGCTTAGTTATCTTACTGCTAGGCCTTAGGCTTATGGAGTAGTCAGAGTAAGTAACAGTGCCTATAGGCTTTCAGCTGATGATATAGTAGGAGTAGGACAAAATTTGCTATTCAGCTGGGCCTCTGGCTCATAATGTAGATAGAGTATGTAACATTAGGTTTAGAGCTAGGCCATGGTTATATGGTGAAGTTAGAGAATGTCAAAGTAGATGTAGAGCAAACGCTTATGAGGGAGTTATAGTAAAGCATAAACCTAAGGCCTAGCTCTATAGCTCCTGTTCCTTATTCTGCATTACTAGTCTTAGGCTTATGATGAAACTAGAGTAACAAATATCTTCCAGCTGGGTCTCAGGTTTATAATGTAGCTAGCGTAAGTAAGTGTAGGGCCTTAGGCCTCTGAAGAAACAGATTGAGCAAAATGACCTTTCTAGTGAGGCCTCACGCTTACAATGTAGGTAAAGTAAGTGATGGTAGGTTTAGAGCTAGGCCCTAGGTTTGTGGGGAAGTTAGAGTGAAAAGCAGTAGCTATATAACTACAGTTAAAGAATGTCAAAATAATCTTACAGCAGAGGCTCAGGCTTGTGATGGAGTTAATAGCGAGCCATTACACTTATGATGAAGTTGGAGGAATGAAAGCAGGTCAACAGGTAGGCTGTCAGCTGATGACTTGGTCTGAGTAAGCCAAATTTAACTTTTCAGCTGAAGCTCTGGCTCATAAAGTAGAGTAAGTAATATTAGGTTTAGAGCTATGCTATGGGTTTATGGTGAAGTTGGAGAAAATCAAGGTAGGTTGAAGGCAAGGTCTTAGACTTATGATAAAGTCAGAGTAGGCAATGGGAGGCATCTAACTTTGCCTTGTGCCTTTGTTGTAGTAAAATAAGTAACAGTGGTTTTAGGCTTATGACGAAGGTAGTGTAAGCAAAAGTAGCCTTTCAGCTTGGCCTCAAGCTTATGTAAATAATGCAAGTGAGAGTAGCTATATAGTTAGGCCTTAGATTTATGAAGAAGTTAGATATTGCAAAAATGGGGGTGGGGGGTGGGGGCACCTTCTAAAGAAGAGAGAGTGAGCAAAATGAGCCTAAAGTTAAAAAACAGCAAATTAAGCTTAGGGCAGGGCCTCAGGCTTCAAATCAGATAGAGAAACTGGGATTAAACCCCATTCTGTAGTTAGAATAGGCCGAATCAGCCTTACATTTAGGCTTCGGTTTTATCATGTAGTAGGAAGTAAGAGTAGTTTTAGAGTTCGGCCAAGGGTTTATAGTGAAGTTGAAGAATGTCAAAGTAGGTTTAGGATAAGGCCGTAGTCTTTTGATGAAGTCAGAGTAAGCAAAAGGAGGCTTCCAGCTAGGCCCTGTGCTTTTATTTTAGTGAAATCAGTAACAGTGGTTTCAGACCAAGGCTTTGGTTTTATGAGGAAAATAGAGTGAAGCATAAACCAAAGGCACAGCTCTATAGCTCCTGTTCTTTACTCTATCTGCATTATAAGTATTAGGCTATAATGAAGGTAGAGTAAGCAGTAGCCCTTCAGCTAGGCCAGGTTCCAGTGTGAAACTGCTTCAAGCCAGGTGGTTGTGCTAATTCTGTAAGTGGTAAGTGCCTAAAGCTGTGTGTGTGTGTTTATTAGTTTGTGTTGATTCCATTATTTTGACTTTGATATTAATGCCAGCTTTGACGCTTTTGTATTTATTCCAAATTGATGTCTCATGCAACAGATTAATCATAATAAAAATCAGGATTTTTCAGGCAAGTATGTTTGCACTTATAAGGAATTTATCTTCAGTTACACAGAAGCTCACAGTTACACAGTAAATAGAAGTTCAAACAAATACAGTAACATAAGATTTTGAGAAGTCTGACTGTAATAACTAAGCTAACACTGGTTTACCTGCTGGAAAGAATCCTCGCTTAACAAAATTAAAGATTAGTCAGACAGTCTTTTCTGCTGTGAGCTTGAAGGTGTGTAAGTGGATATTTGTGGATATATCGTTTCTGTTGTGTGCGAGTTTCAAGGGTTTATGTGAGTGAATGGGAGTGACTGAATAGGAGAGTGACGCCTCTGCTGTGGCTCATCACAGGCTCTACAACGAGAAGCGTCTCCAGATTTCCTGTGACCAGGCTTTTCTTCTCAACCACGTCCTTAACAACATAACTTTTTTGATGTAGTGGATCATACTCTTTTTCTCACCTGGAGAAGCCTGGGAGCACTGTGAGACACCATTCAGCCTAGGCTCCTGATGAACAAGCTGGGGAACACTGAGGTCGATCACCACCTATTAAATTGGATTCTGGACTACCTCACCAACCGACCACAGTATGTGAGGGCACGAGACTGTGTGTCTGACATGGATTTCCACAGGCACAGGCACCTCCCTCCATCAGTGAACATTCAGTGAATGGACATTGAGAGAGTGGACTCTTATAAATACCTGGGTTTTCACCTCAACAATAGACTTGACTGGTGCAATAATATTATTGCATTTTAAAAGAAAGGCTAGAGCAGACTCTACCTGCTTAGGAGACTGAGGTCATTTGGAGTGCTGGGGGCACTCCTGAGGACCTTTTTCGACACCGCGGTGGCATCAGCCATCTTTTATGGAGTGGTCTGCTGGGGCAGCAGCATCTCAACTGTGGACAGAAAGAGACTTGACAGACTCATTAAGCGAGCCAGCCCTGCCCTGGGAAGTCCCCTAGACCCAGTGCAGGTGGTTGGAGAAAGGAAATGTTAGCGAGACAAGCATCCATGCTGGAGAACAGCTTCCACCCCATGAATGAGATTCTGGCAGCACTGGGCAGTTCTTTTAGAGACAGGCTGCCCAAGTTTGTGAAGAAGCACTATTGCAGGTCCTTCCTTCCTGCTGCTCTTAGACTGTACAACCAGCACTGCTCCCAGTAGGTAAACTGTGAATTCATCACCATTTCCTGTGTGCAATATGACACATTTTACAGTTCAAACTGTAAAGATGTATACAGTCCCAAGATTTTTTGCAACTTTTTGTCTCCCCTTCTTTTCACCCATGTCTATTTTGTATATCACTTGACAAAGTCTATTTTAACATTTACTAAAAATATATGATATCAGTTTTGTCAACATTTTAAATTGTGAAATATAGGGGTTTTGGCCCTATATGCGATGTTTGGCCCTAAATTTGGCCTGTTTAAACCCTCTAGGCTAGACTATGCTTTTGCTTTTTGGCAGAAGATAAGCATTACTTAGTTCACAGATCTATTTATGGGAGACACATAAGATTTCAGGAGCTTTCCTCTAAATTATCTATCGCAAAGTCATTTTTTTAGATACCCTCAAATTCACAGATTTGTTAAACAATACTGTTCGAGATTATTTGTTACTCCCTCCTAAGAACCTCTGCAGAACCATATTGAAGAGACTATGTAGCGTTGGAGGACATACTTCTCCTAAAGCCCCCCCTAAAATCAGCCTGTCGATGCTCATTGACTGATGTACTTCACATCTTCTGCACTCCGTTACCGTGGCTAAAAAACTGCATTTCTGGTCCTCAACTTTGCCTGTCTTCTGCAGAAGAGCTTGGACAGCACAACTGGAAACATCTGTCTGATGCAAAATTTCTGCTTGGGAGAGACCTTGCTTACGCAGGATGGCCACCTTGTGTTGAAAACAGTGGAGACGACAGTAGACTTCAGGAGGAGCTCTCCAACCCTGCCAGCACTCACCATCCTGGACAGAACTGTGATGGCAGTAGAGTCCTGCAAGGTCCTAGGCACAACAATCACCAGAGACCTGAAGTGGGACAGCAACATCAACAACTGTGCACTGTGAGCTCTTGTAACCAAAACCAAATTCCTTGTATGTGTAAGCATACCTAGCCAATAAAGCTTGATTCTGATTGCTATGCTCACTCTTGCCATAGTGTAAGATTTGAAGGTTAACTGCCATACCTGACACAACTTTGCTAATTTAATATGGTTATCCCTCACCCAGTTTTATTCCCTCGACACAGCTGCTTCTGTCTCAGTTCATCAGTTTAGTTCAGTCTGTTAACACCTGTTTGCTTGCACTATACAATTTTGTTTTTGCAAATGTAATGTTTGGAAATCTAGAGTATTCTGTCTCCTACTGACATACTAATGCAGAAAACCACAAATTCAGAAAATATCTAAAGTGCCTAAAACTTTAGAGTCTGGAGGTACCAGAACATCCAAGCCAGAACCACCAGATTCAAGAACATTTTTTACTTGCAAGCTGTTAAACCGGCCACACCAGCAACACCAACCAGAACATGAACACACAGACTACAGACTGTTACTGATCTAAACCCTGTTTACACCAGTTAACTCAGAATATCTACATATTGAGCTCGACTAACTCATGGAACTGTCTGCACATTGCACTTTATTTGGAACTCTCTATACTTGAACATTAAATTTGCTGGAATGCATTGTATTGCACACACACATTTTCTAAACTGCTTATCCTTCTGGGTCACGGAGGGTAGCTGGAGCCTATCCCAGCTGTCATTGGGTGGAAGGCAGGACACACCCTGGACAGGTCGCAAGTCCACCACATACATCGTATTGCATTTATGTCTCAATTATAGTAGTGTCTTTCTTTCTGGGTATAAATGCTAGCTTTTGTT